ATGTATCTATATATATACACACACATACGATTGTGATAGAGCCGCATATCTTGAAGCCCTATACCCTCGGACCCTCCTGGGACCCCGGCAGGTAGCTTGGAAGACGTTATCGCCGAGTTGGAGACTGGGCATCTGGGACTCAGACGCCTTGGGACAGTGACGACCAGTGGGAGAGTCATGTAGGGTTTGGGGGGCTTTCGGATTTAGGGTCTATAGGGGTTTAGGCTGGGGTTTCGGATATCGGAAGGTAGTAGGATACTTTGAGCGTGGTGTGGGGTTTAGGGTGTAGGACCTGGAGTGTAGGATTTCGGGTCTGGAAAGCGGCACATCGACGTGATTCTCGTAGCACCAGCTCTATATGTGGTGATTTGCTGTCTGCGTGTTCCAAGGACCATGGGTTTATGCGCCAAATTTCAGCCATCGCGCTGCTTCTGCGGGCTTGGAATTCGTTCAAGCGTGCTCGAAGCCCGCAGCGAACGAAGCTGCCACTCGATAGTTTCCTTTTTAAGTATTGCCGAAGCTCGAGAGGGATCCAAGCTTGCTTAAAAAGGCTGAGTTGGCTGCACCAGAGGCTTGCAAAGCCTTGCTGCTCTCCGAGGGAGTACCAGCGGCATACCTCTGCACATGAACGATGCCAGGAATCCGATGCGTGGCCGTCACCACCTTATCCGGCTTTGAGGCTGCAAAACCTGACAATTCGTCGATTTCCTGGGCTCGAGGCAAGCGGTCATCTACGGATTGCACGAGGCTAAGATGCCAGATGAACTGTTTGCTGTGCGGTAGACCTGCGGGTTTCATTCTCGAAATATCGACTAAGCCGTATAGATAGACCCGTACACCCATTCACCCTAAACCCCTAAACCTCAACTTAAAACCCCATAAACCGGACACCCATTCACCCCAAACCCCTAAACCTCAACTTAAACCCCATGAACCCTGCGGCCCCAAAGCCCCAAACAAGGCTGGCGATCTCCCTGGTGCATGCCTTCTTCGACATCCGCCTGTCTCAGGAGCATTTATCTGGGCCTAGGCATGCCTAGGCCGCGTAGTTGACAAAGGGGTTTTGGGTTTGGCGGTTTGGTGTTCAAGGTTTTCGGGCCCATAGGGTTTTGGGAGTTGGGGTTTTTGGGTTCTGGGTGCATCTTGGGTTTCGGGGGAGACGGTTTGAAGCCCGTTCAGGCTTCCTTCTCCGGGTATCCAGGTTCGGCTTCCAGGGTATGGCCTTCTGGGAGCTTACAATAGCAAGGATCCTCAGATGAATCATCTCTATAGCCTAAACCCTCAAGCCCTAAGCCATGTCAAACTCATTCTCCTGCAAAGCCCCCCCCCCCAGAAGAGCCGGGCCTGAGCTTTGAACCTAAACGCCCCAACTCCGAGGCCCAATTCTCTTTTTTCGTAACCCCTATAGGTCCCTTATGGAATCCTTACAGAACCATAGGTCCCGTATAGAATCCTTATAGTACCCTTATACAGTACTCTAGTACCCTGCGAGCCCGCAAGACCTCCGGGCCAGAAGGAGCTCTGCACTCCGCAGCTCTGCGAAAAGCTGGAGCTCGAGCCTAAGCTCTCGCCAAAGCCTCTTTTCTTCTTTTTGCCTTTTTGTCGGATGTTAGGGCTTAGGGTTTAGGGCTTAGGATTTAGAGTTTAGGGAGTAGAGGGGCCTTCGTACTTACCGATGCTCTTTTGGGGGTTCCTATCTTCGAATGATTCGAGTTACATTAAACCCAAGACCCTATTCCAGTTGTGAAGGGCCCTAGGTTGGGGTTGTTGGGCTTTAGGGTTTTGAGGGACTTTAGGGGTTCGGGGTGTAGGGTGAGGGTAGTGGATTGCGTTCGTGAAGCTTTCAGGGTTGGAATTTTTTGTTTAAATACATAAATACATAAGTATATATATATATATATAATATAATATATATATATATATGTGCATATATAGGGCCGCTGTAGCTGGAGTTTTCTGCACAAGGTCCCGACTTGAAAACCCCTCCGACACGAGCATCGGTCACTCGACCAGTGCGGCTACTTCTGTTTGGAATATCAGTGTTGTGACCGACAGCAAGCGGCTTCTGCTGAAGGCTTTACGCGCAGAAGGCCTGCACCGCGTTTGCCAACAGGCCCGGGAAGAATCCATGTGGGGGTTTCCGAAAATAGGGGACCCTAATAAATATAGCACCCTAAATAGTAGGATCCTTATTATAAGGACCCCAAAATAAGGCACCCCTAATTTTCGGAAAGTCCCATGTGCTGGCTCACTGCCTACCCAAGAGCCTGCTGTGTGGCACGTGAGCGCCTGGTGTCAGGTGCCAGATGTACAAAGCATATCCGGTGTCCGAGCAAGTGGGCCAGCAGCGGCCTAAGAAACGCGCAGACTGCATGTTCTCAGGTCTGATATGAGTTGCTGCAGATGTGCTGAACTGGTAACAAACCAGAAAAGTTTTTCAAAGCAGGACGAAGAGATGATGATGATGATGATGATGGTGATGATGATGATGATGGTGATGATGATGATGATGGTGATGATGATGAGTGAGGTTGCTCGAACCCTGTAGAATTAGCAGTCATACCAGGAGCAGGGCAACACGACCACCGAAAGCAGTAGCGATATTTTGTGTACCAGCTTCCTTCCCTTCCGGTTCATTCACAACAAAAACAAAGAGAAATACCTGGACTCTGAAGGAAATACTGAAGTCCTGATATGCTAAGCTGCTTAACCCTAAGCCACAAGCAACCCAAAACCACCGAATTTGAATGTCCCTCAAAGAAACAAAAGTGCACTAAACCCGAATGCCTGAACCGGAACCGCTGAAGCCCTAATGTGGGTAGTTCTCAGATTTAGGGTCCGTCCTTCACTGTAAACAAGGACCGTAATTCAGAGATCCACCCATGTGCACAAGCGCCGAGGACGCGACTTCCGCTTGGAGCAGGCAGTGGCAATAAGGGTTTATGGTTTTAGGGTTTTAGGGTCTAGCGATGTCGGCATCCGAAGCATGTAACAAACAGGGTTTGTCCGGCAAAGTTTTGTCATGTTAGGGCTTTAGGGTTTAACATGTTTCTTGGGTATGGGGTAAAGAAGATGAGCGATGTGGGGATTCGGGTAGGGGTTCGGGGATGAGGGAAAAGGGTTCAGAGCCTGGCGAGAAGAGTTTGGGGTTCAGTGCTGCTTGTGGCATAGGCCTCCGCCTTTCAGTCCTGTCTCAGTGTACGGTTTAGGGTTTAGGGTTTAGGGCTGGGAGAATAAGTGGGGGAGGCTTCTTCGATGACGACTTGCACTTCTTTGTCTGCGAGGCTGCTGCTGGGTAGTTCACTGACTCACCCCGTCTAGTCCAAGGCTCTAAGGGTGGAACCCGCTTCCGTAGCCCTTAAGGCCTAGAGATGTTAGTGTTTCATTGGAGGGCAGGGTCTGTGTCTGAAGGCTGTGGCGATGGATTCTAGGACTAATGTAGGGGCCTTAATAATTAGAATAGGGGTTTTGGGGGTTCCTTATTATAATTATAGTATAATATACCCCCAAACCCTATTCTAATTATTAAGGCCCCTATATTGTGGACGTGCATGCCTACGGCTTTCTTGGATTTGAAACAGTATGTCATACATCGCGACATGATGGCAGGAATCACTGGTACTGTTGCTTGTGAATCCTACACACTCTACAAGACTTGACACTCAGCTTTGAACTGAACTACATGTAGAATGACAATATGGTGGTTGCAGTGGAAATTTGGATGTTGATCGTGCCTGATATGCAAACACCTTGAAAGCTTCTGGTGCAACTTAGGGCAGTTGCTCAAGACTAGGATTGGTGGGTCTCACAGATCGTGGGAATTGCTGGGCGTATTGGCGTATTGTACGAAGGATCGACAGTCACGTTTCGTGCTTGGATGCCTGAGGGCTCGGAAGTGTCGGCGCAGCTATGGCCACGATTATTACTCGATTAGTACTTTGACGGTGACCAATGTCGGGGAGTCCGAACGTTTATAGCAAAATTAACGATGACAGCAGCGATGCAATACTTTGGAGATACTCGACTCCAGCAGCACTGCTGTTCAAGCAGTCCCGCAGATTCGGGGTTTGTCGGGGTGTCTTAGGTTGTTTGCTCCGGCAAAAGTAATGCAGGCGGAACGACGGTAGATCCTCGGGTACACTTTCAAGACTTGTGGTGCAGGCTGTCGCTACGTTACATCCTGCACGTGCATAATTTCGAACGTACACGAAGAATACACGCGCCTGCGCGATTCAACGTTTGTGTACACATGCACGCATGTGTATTCTCACAGACTTGCATACATCCAGACTACGAGTTGGAGTACGTTACACGACATTACATTTCGGCACAGTGCGGTGCATGACATCCATACTCCATTTCTGCATGTCGCGAGACGGGCATAATTGCATGCACGAATGTTCAGCATCTCCGTGATGACGAGTCGGGCATCATTTGAAGAGTAAAGAGTTTGATTTTGTTGGGGATGACCAGTCCGCCTTCTTGGTCATCCATCCATGCATCCATCCGTCCATCCATCCATCCAGCCAGCCATACAGACATACCTGCGTGCATGCCGACATGCCTCACACATGCATGCATGGGCACACATTCATATATTCATATATCAAATATGTACATACATGCACACACACACACACACTTCTGTAATGCACTACATTATACTCTAGTATAATATACGAAAATATCATATGCTATACCATAACATAGTCATCTGGGTGGTTCTCTGAATTAGGGTCCCGTTTAGGGTCCTTTTATTAAGGGGTGCCGTATTATATCGGGGGGGGAGCCTAATCTAGAGAATTACCCATAAAGTACCCTTACAGTACTCTAGTACCCTTAATGCACTACAATATACCATAGTATGATATATGAAAACATCATATGCTATACCATAAAATAATATAGTCATACAGTATACATCTGCACCGTCGCTGTATCCACAAAGCGGCCTTTGGCAGGGACCCGAAGACCAGCTCCACCCGGACAGCTCCGTCCACACCCTGACCTCGGTGCTTTGCCCGGGCCTTAGGGCAGTTGCCTAAGGGTGTATTATGTTATGTTATGTTATGTTATATTATGTTACAGTGTATATATAGTAGAGTATAGTATAGCATAGTATAGTTCCGCATGTAGAGTATAGTAGAGTAAAGCACTGTATGATATGATCGTATCTTACATTATAGTATATCGCAATATGTTGTACTGTAGTATCTAGCTATATCTGGGCGGTCTGTGTGTAAACAAAGACGGTGTACCCACAACACACCGCAGAGACTCTGAACATGTTGGATGTCTGGCTTAACGCGGTAGACAGAACATGTCGGACAAAGCAATGTCATGCTGGACAATATCATGTGAGTGTGTGGCAGCGGAGCTCAGAATGGAAACGTTGGTCATCGAATCTCACCACTTAACCGTATACTGTAGTCGCAGGACACTGCGCTACAGCGAATATCGCAAAAAGCAGACGTGCAAAGCTCCCTTGCTGCAGGCTGGGCCGCAGCAGATCGGCTTCATCGAGTGGCCTGTAGCTAAGAGTCGGCAGCGAGATCGGGCAAACGGCGTAGGTTTTCGGCTTCGTGCACGGCATCACGGTCGCATCTTCTTGCGATGGGACTCTGCAACCATGACTCTTAGGCCGCCCACTACTTCAGGGATCCCGATCGCGCGGAGCATTGGCTTCTCGTCTGTTGATCAACCTCCCATTCCTTTCTGCATTCTTCTGCAGTGGCGTTCCCTCTCAGGCAGCGGCAAGCCTTGGAAATTCACGAGGTGGATCGGAAATGGTAGTTAAGGCGATGAATGCTGTTTCTGAGTGGGCCCCGGTTCAGGAGATTTGCCGCCAGGCTTGGAACCCTGCACGAGGCGGGATGCTATGGGATGCTGGAGCTTAGGCGGCCAGGCTGCGTCCGCACACATTGTTTCGGAGGTGCTTTCACCACGGTTTGGGGTGGCACCAAGGACGCCGACTCGGCATTTATCGAGACATGCAGGGCAGCAGAGAGCCCTAAACCCTAAAACCCTAAACCCCTAAAACCCTAAAGCCCTAAAACCCTAAAGCCCTAAAGCCCTAAAACCCTAAACCCCTAACCGCCCTAACCGGCAAAGGTGGGGCCATCCGTGCTGCGTTTGGCCGAGCTCGGGTTCATCTCACCAGAGGCGGGCCGAGATTGGAGTTGATTGGTTCTAAGACTCTAAGAGTGCTAAGCTGCTTTGATATAACTGGGGTTTAGGGTTTGAGGGTTTGAGGGTTTAAGGATTTAGGGTTAGGGTTTAGGGTTTAGGGTTTATGATAATAGGTTAATGGCCATCGAATGTTACCCAGATCATAACCACACTTTCGCAGCAATGACGGGTGAGGAAGCAGAAGGTATAGACCGCATTTCTGTGTTATCTGTTCAGTTGTCTCATGCCCTAGAGACGACAGGCGAGTAGTTGTCGTAGCGATAGTGAGTGTTAGTGGTAGTAGTGTGTTTGGCTGTCTCGGCTGCAATGCTCCCGAACAGGATGCCCGATTCCGTGGCACTGTGCGCGCCTTTGAAACGGATGCAGATGGGCGCTCAGAAAGGTTGGCAGAGACTTCTTTGGATGACGCTTTGCGGAGTTTTTTCGGCTCCGAGGCGTTGTGTGCGAGCTGCTTGAAAGGAACAGATGGCGAAGTACTTGGCGAGGCGTGGACAGAGCTAGGTTTGATAGGTAATTATTGGCCGGGTTTTCAGTTTGCTCTCGTTGCTGCAGGGCTTCGATTCCAAGAGTCTCAGAGCAGTATGAGGGTGGCCGCGACGCCGGACACGGCTGCGACGATAATTCCGACGACACGATAATGCCCTCATCAATGTGAAGAAACCTCCCAGATGTTCCGCTTGCCATGATCATAATGATCTTAATGCTGGGAAATCTGATGATGCTTCAAGAGTCATGACAGTAGTGCAGCGATGATAGCAATCGCCATCGACAAGTGTAGACGAATGCAGCACGAACTTGAGGATTGCTACACCATGAAGGCCCGTACGGCCCCGATCCAGTTTAGACTGCCAAGGATCTGGAGTATGTAACACCGTTCCGGGACCTCGCACCCGGCCAGGAGTCAATTTTAACGGCCTTCGCCACCTGCTTCACCACGAACACTTTGTGGGTGCCTCAGAGATCCATCGGCTACGATCCAACTTACGTCATACGTAGTGGTTTTGGTCAGCGGCGCCGAGCTCCCTGTTGTTCTGAATGTCAGCCACCTACAAGGTCATTTATAGTTAATGTTCGAAAGCTTTACATGTATGTGTGTGTGTACACACACACACATTTGCATTGAGATGTCTCTGTCCTTGCATCTCCCTTTCTCAGCGGATGATGCCGCTCAGGCTTTGGTATAGCGAGGCGCTTCGCAGTATCGGAGCGACGATTGAATCCAGGAGGCTTGTGGAGGCGTGCGCCATAGCTTGAGCCGAAGGTCTCTAGTGATCGTGTGTGTTTATAATGCGTGTGCGTGTGTGTATATAATATATATATATACATACATATATATATATATGTATGTATTATATCTATGTCTATACCCATATCTTTATCTATATCCATATCTATATCCAGATCAATATCTGTATTTGTATCTATATCTGCATGTCGACAAAATTCCGTTAACCGCCTATGTGGCTGAAGATCTTTACCTGTGCAAGTAGCTTTACGAGTCAACAAAGACAGGCCAGAGGGAGGATTGCACGAGTGTGGGTGTGGGTGTGTGCAATAAAGGCTTGCCGAATAGTATATGGAACTCAGTGATACTATATGTTACGGCTGCGTTGCACCACATCACGCTGGTCAACCAGTTAATTTCGGTATCATCACTAGGCCATATGCTGCATGACAGGCATTGTTATGATGTGTTGTGCTTTGTTTTGACCTCTTTTGCCACGCGCTACGCAGTTTTGTCTTATATTCTGTGCACGAATGGCAATCGCAGCAGCATTCAGAACGACGCCAATGGGAGTATCAAAACTGGCACTTAGAAATTGCAATGAGAGTAACTGTAATGATCGCAGCACTGGTACTACAAGTTCTGTTATCGTTCCCTGTGCAACATGTACCTAACCCCGTTCATATACACATATGTGTACATACACATATATATATATATGTATTTATTTATATTTGTATATGCACACTTGGTTCGCTTGCAGTGTAGTTTGTGCGTGTGTTTGCGTGTCTGGGTTGCGTGTCTGCGTGTCCTAGCGGGTGCCTGCGAGCAAAACAACATGGTGAAGCCTTGCAGTCATAAAGACCTATAGCCAGGCACCCTGCTATTCTTGAGGTATGGCTCAATCCTGCTCAAATGAAACTCTTGGACCTTGGTTCGCTTTGGTACCCTGGTGGACTCTAGAGAACATGGGATACTGTGCTCGTACACAGAACTGCATAAAGGCTCCACTACAAGTGTCATACCGCCTTAACTTAATGTGTTCAGCATTTCCTGCGTCTTGATAAGGGGTGTGTATTTGATCAAGTTGCGTTTGTACAAATTTTGCTAGTATTACCTTTTTTGCCGGGGTTCAGTGTAGAAACGCATATCCATGTTTGTAATACCACAATCAAAAACATGGACAACAGCAAGAAAGGACTGTTCCGTTACATCTATGCGCATTGTCTTCTGTTGCCGTCCGTAACTGTATAATATACTTAACAAGTGGGAGGGAGTGGGGGTCCCAATTAGTGCAGACTCTCGTTAAATGCACAAATACAATCCACGCTGTCACAGCAAGCACACATCAGCGGATTTGCATATGTAGCCGTATATATATATACACACACACACATAAATACACACACGCACATACAATGTACGCATGTACGCACATACATGCATACATACCTACATACATACATACATACATTCATACATACATATTGCCGCGCGAGAGAGAAGGCAGGCCCAAGCTTCTTAGCCATGCGTTGCGTCGTGCAGACAAGCTGTGCTGAGGCCCTTCTGAGGACCTCAAAGCATCCTGGAATGCTGGCTGAGGACCGCCATGCCTTCCGAGTCCCCCTCTTTTTCTGGGTTTAGAGTTTAGGGTCCAGTTCCGACTTTAAGTTCTTGGGGGCTATGGTGGTGATGACGGTTTAGGGATGAGGGTTTGATGGTGAGGGTAACGGTATTGCGGTTTAGGATCTAGGTACTATGTCAGATTATGGTGTTGTCCGCGAGGAGTAGCAGGATGAGAACATGATCGATAACAGCATGTTGCGGTACTACTGTTGATGATCTAAATCCTGCACTACCTTAAGGACCCTAAACTATGACACGCTCAAACCATCGTCGACCTGCTTGTTAGGCCATCGACCTCCAAACCGGCGAGCAGTGGGGAAACACGCCTTGCACCTCTGCTCTGCGGGGGACCTAGCCGGAATGAGCCTGGAAAGACCAGATGAAGGAGTTTAATGGAAATGATGAGAAGTAGGAAGACCAGCACCTGCCGTCGCACTTCTAAGTGTAGTGGTAGTATAATAGCCCCTAAGCCGTAAACCCAAAAACCTAAACCCAAAACTCCCAAAGCCCTAAGCCCAAAACCCTAAACCCGAAGCCCTAAACCCAAAACCCTAAGCCCTAAACCCTAAGCCCTAATGAAGACTGACTGTTGGTGCCATCTTTCGCTTCGCCGAGGCTGTCGTTGCTGAGAGTGGCCCCTAGGCTCTCCAGGACATGGCGGGAGGTGTAAGCAGGTGCATGGCTTAGGGATCTTAGGGTTTAGGGCTTAGGGTGTAGGATTTAGGGTTTAGGGCTTAGGGTGTAGGATTTAGGGTTTAGGGTGTAGGGTTTAGGGTTGAGGGTTTAGGGTGTAGGCTTTAGGGTTTAGGGTTCAGGGTTTAGGGCTTAGGGTTTAAAGGGTGTAGGCTTTAGGATATAAGCACTACCTGTCCCGTCCTATTTCAGAGTTCGGCACAAAGCAGCCGAAGCTTTCGTTTCAGTCAGCCTGGTTCGCCGGGCTCTGCATCAGACAGCGCAGATGCTCACCAGCAGCGCGGGTGCAGGAGAGGAGCTTGTGGGCAGATCTATGAGCAGCCCTGAACCTTCGACCCCATTAAAGCCTTGAAACCCTAAACCTGAAGTCCTTAATTAAAACACAAAACCTTAAAGCCTTAAAACCCAAAGCTTTAAAGCCTTAACACCCAAATCCCTGCAACCCGCAGCCCTACCCCTGCTCTTTCTCCCCTCCGATGGCCTCTCCCCCGCCCCCCCAAGATTGCAAAAGACGCGTCTCGGCAGGCGGTCCCGGCCCTTCGGGGCTACTTCCTAGTTGGAACGATGACCGCCTGGACTGGGTGAGGGGCGGGGCTTTAGGGTTTAATTATAGGGCTTTAGGGATCCATGAGGGTTCATGAGGGATGGGTTCTATTTATGGTTCATGGGTTCGGGTTTGGGGATGTAGGGTTCAGGGTTTAGAAGGGTTGGAACTTCCGGGTCTGGGGATGTCCCTCGTGGGAGGTTGTGGGGGAATCGTAAACTGTGTCAACAATTGCTCAATTGCAGCTGGCTAGCCAAATATGCGCAACGCAAGAACAGAGAGATAGAGTACGAACATGATTTGTCAGCACCTTCCCAATAGGCAACTAATTATCAAATTAGAGCCTTGATCAGCACCGAACTTCCGAACATTGAGATATCCTGCTTGCGACCCCGAGCACGAAGCCTGCTGCTGTAGACGAGCGTTCACGGCTGTCGCTTGCTGCAACTTCGCAAAATCTTCGAGACTGCCTGCTGCTGGCGCATCTCCCGGAGTCCTGCGCGACCCATAACCCTAAACGCTAAACCCATGTTGCCAAAATCTCCCCCGAAACCCTAAGAGCCCTAAACCCTAAACCCCATATCCCCAAAAGCCCCCCTAAGGAAGAGGTTGGCCCTAACGCCTTAAACTCGAGAGCCTCTAATGGAAACCCAGAAGAATTCATACAGACCTCACAGAGAGGCCAAAGAGCCCCAAAAGCAAGGCCAAAATAAGAGAGGGCCCTGGAAGAACTCTGGAGACCTCCCAGAGAGCCCAAAGAGCCCCCCCAAAGAAAAAGGCCAAAATTAGAGAGAGCCCTGGAAGAGTCTCTCCGAGAAGGACAGATGGCCTGAGAATGGAGGAAGAGGCCGATGGGGTCTACGCCTACACGCTCCTGGCCTGCAGTTGGGGTGGAGGGTTTAGGGTTTAAGGTTTAGGGATCGGGCCCTCAACAAAGGGCCCGGGGGTCTATTCTAGTAGAGTGTAGCAAATCATAAATATCGAGGCAGTTCAGCTCAGGGTCCAGGACTAGATCAGGATCGATCTCCTTTTTCTGTCCCGTTTGGGAGTGCGAACTGTTTGCCCCTTGCAGCAGTGTTGCATAGAGTTTCTTTCCAGAAGCTTAAACTACCCTAAGCTCCTAAACCCTAAACTCCTCAACTCTAAGCTCCGAAGCCCTACACTCCTAAACCCCAAACCCTAAACTCCACCCAAATATCCTAAAGCCTAAGCCCTGAACCAGGCTGACCATGGGTGACAACAACTGGGAGAAGTTCCAGGTTTGGCTGGATGAGGATCCTGACAAGGCCGGGGGGGTGGGGGGTTCGAGTTTCGATGCAGGTGCCTCGTTGCAAGACCCTGAGGGTTTAGGGTTTGGGGTTTAAGGTTCAGGGTTTTGGGTTTAGGGTTCAGGGTTTAGGGTTCGGGGCCCTTGTTGAAAGCAATTTCTACATTCTTTTGTTGTAAGAAACCCCCGTAAGGATCAACAATGATCATGTTAAATATAGCCCCAACCGGGAACCAGCTAGGCCCTAAAACCCTAAGACCCTAACACCCCGAAACCCTAAAGCTCTAAACCCTAAA